GAAGTGAGCTGTAGCTCACGAAAGCTTATGCTCAAATAAATTGGTTAGTCTCTAAGGTGCCACAAGTCCTCCTTTTCTTTTTGCGGATACAGACTAACACGGCTGCGACTCTGAAACCTGTCATTCTTTGTTGTGGTGACTCTTCAGCGAGGCAGACTGGATGCTGCTCGCTCTTCAGCCTGTCACTGCCACTTCTACAAACTACCTGAGAGGGTCGCTAGAGAGCAATGTGAGGCACTTATTTTCCGGGCTGTCTCTGGGACAGACAGAGAGAAGAGAAGCAAAGGCGCTGGCCTATGCTCCCAAACAGGGCCCAAATCCATATCTATTAGCTAGGAAATCCCTAACCAGGTCCTCTCAGATTGCTCTGCTCCTTTGCTGTGCTTTCTGCCCATGTGTACAAAGCCCAGGATTGGGATATAGAGATCCCTCATTCTCTGGCCTCACCTCCACAGAACGCAAGCAGCCATCTGCCTGCACACCCTGCTAAGGTTCACTCCCTGGCCCTAGCTGTGCCTCACCTCCCCCCTTATTCACTTAGGCATTAACCTCCCTTCTCAGCCTGCTGGTAAGAGAAAGTAAAGGGGGAGGAGGAGACAAGCTTACAAGCCTCCCCACAAGGCATTCTGGGTTACTTGAGTACACAGCATTCTGCGGCCATGACAAAAACAACAGGAAAAACCTGCTCCTACAATCCTGCCAAGCTGGGATTTCAACAGCAAGTGGCAATGCATCAGCTGGCTACAAACTGCTCCTGAATCAGGGAATGATGCTCCGTCCCCAGATCAGGCCTTTTGATTATTATTATTCTATTTTTTAATCACCAACCATATGCTTGATGCTCTGTAGGACCTAGTTCCTGCCCCAGAAAGCTGCAACTAGATCACAATGGGAGACTCAGAGGAGAGTGCAAGCTTCCAGAGGATTTTCGGTTGTATTGATTTTTGATCACACTCTCCTTCTCTCCCATGACACTGTGACAGTAAAGATCTTTGCCAGAGGTGAGTGTCCAGGGGTGAGACTTCAGGAGATATGAATGAAGAAAGAAGAGTGGCTTGGCAAGCTAGATTAGAACCAGAACTAGGGGTCACCAAATGAAATTAATAGGCAGCAGGTTTAAAACAAACAAAAGGAAGTACTTCTTCACACAACGCACAGTCAACCTGTGGAACTCCTGCCAGAGGATGTTGTGAAAGCCAAGACTATAACAGGGTTCAAAAATGAACTAGATAAATTCATGGAGGATTGGTCCATCAAAGGCTATTAGCCGGGATGGGCAGGGATGGTGTCCCTAGCCTCTGTTTGCCAGGGGCTGGGAATGGGTGACAGGGGATGGATCACTTGATGACTACCTGGTCTGTTCATTTCCTGTGAAGCACCTGGCATTGGCCACTGTCGGAAGACAAGACACCAGGCTAGATGGACCATTGGTCTGACCCAGTATTGCTGTTTTTCTGTTATTAGGGAGCTCATTCCACAAGTGGGAAGCACCACAGAAGAAGGTAAAGATGGGAGACTGAAATAAATGGGGCATCATTGGTGGAATGAAGGGCCGGGGGACATGAAAGACGATAAAATCCAACTTGGAGGCTGGGCCTAAGGGCTTATCTACACATATGGCACTGCAGTGGTGCAGCAGCACCAATGAGTCTGTAATGCTTAGTAACCACAGTACCTATGCCAATGGGAGAGCTTCTCCCATTGGCACAGGTACTCCACCTCCCTGATAAGCAGTAGCTATGTCGACAGAAGAAGCTCTCCCATTTACGTAGCACTGTCTACACCAGAGTTCGGTCGGCGTAACTGTGTTGCGCAGAGGTGTGGATTTTCTGCGTTGCTCAGGGTAGTTATACCACCATAAGTCTGTAGTGTAGATCATGCCTACATTATTCAAGGCCTTGAAGGTGTTAAGTGAGAAGTTTGAACTTTTATGCAGTGGCTGAAGGGACGCTAATGGAGGGGTGCAAAGGTAGACAGAGGATGGTAGGATCTGATCAATGGGGAAGGAAGAGCATTTTTGCCACTGCGTTTCAGGCAGACTGGCAGGGAGTGACGCAGTCATCTGCTGGTTGCAGCCATCAAGGCAAGATGCAGCCAGGGCATTAGCCCCTGGAACAGAATGGAAGGGTCACATTTGCAAAACATTGAGGAGGAAGAAGCAATATTCTGCAACAGCCTTGTTGTGTGGGAAGAAGGGAAAGGAGGAGTCAAAGGGACTGTGAGCCTAAGCGATGGGCAGGATGGTGTTGTGCCAACGACAACAGAGAAAGGAGGAAATGGAAAAACCAAGAAGCTCTATGCTGGCGATGGGCCATCTAAGGCCATATATCAGGAGATCGTCTGCAGCACAGGAGTGGGCAGAGGGAAACAGGGCCCATAGATTAGTGAGTCATCAGCCAAGAGATGAGAGTTTAAACTGTACAAATGGATACAGTCACCAAGGAGAAGGCGTAGAGGGAGAAGCCATGGAAGGGGTCCCCAGAGTGTTGGTTGAGGGAGGAGAAGGAGGAACCAAGGTGGAGTTTGTAAGGGGAGCAAATTAGACAAATTTACCCTAGTGGCACTGATAAAGGTGCTGTAGAAGATATCAAGAGAGCTACGTGAGCCCTTGTGTCAGCAACAGGTACTTTTGCTCAGCAGGAGCATGTGCACGTTTGTCTAAACGTGGCGGCAGAATGCTACCGATGTACAAGGAGCCTTCGAGGCTCAAGATCCAGCTGCTCATCTAATAGCAGAGCCAGTCACTTTCACACTAACTCCACGTGGACTTGGTGTCCACAGCACCCAACAACAACCTGCATTTCCAAGATGCCTATGAAGGCTGTGATTGGCTACAGAATCAGTGCACCAGGATCAAGTCCCACATGAGACATCTCTCTGAATTTTAAACCCATGTAAACACTGCAGATTCTGTCTGTCTAAGAGCCTTACCAGCAAAACCCCTAAAAATTAAGTCTGTAGGGGAATATTTATATCTACAATTTATTATCAGAATAACAGGGACTCCAACTTAGCACAGCAACTTAATGAAAGGAAAACCATGTTTTTCTTGATAAAAGCTTGTGCTATCTAAATCCTGCACATGCCAAAAGGGAATATTACCACAGCACATCTCAGGCTTCTGAGGAACTCAAACGTCATTCAAGATTCATACTCATGGTTACCATAACCCCTCAGTACGTGTGCAAGCACACATCTGTCTATCCATCTACAGAGGTGAGTTACCCACATGATATTCACATTCTTCTCTCTGTTTTTCATGTGTGGGAATATTTATTCTTTTCTTTTACCTATAACATTTTGCACCATCAGCAGCAGATACCACAGCACTGTACAAACCATTCCTCCCATAGATATACCCCCCTCCCCGTATGAAGTTGGAAAACTTCATCTCCGCTTTACAGATGGGGAAACTCAAGCAGAAAGCATAGTTAAGCCAGTTAGTTGTGTGAGGTCACAAAATGAGGCAGTGGAAGAGTTGGGAATCATGACTCGCAGAAATCATGACTTCCATTCCCATGCTCCCCCACCACCAATCTGTACACCCTAGCAGATTGCTCCCATCAATGGACATATGAGCTAAATTTGCTAAGCTGCTACAGTAGTTCTGCTGTTTAATTAAGGTCCTGTCTTCCATCTCCAGAGGCCACACAGGGGAAACACCAGCCACAGTCTCATTTGGACCTATTCTGGAAATGTCTTCGCAAAGCAAACAGAACTCTGGGCAAGCACAAGCCGTGCCCCCAAACATTTCAGCCTGCTCCTCAAATGCAGGCCCCAGCATGGCTGGGAAATCAGCTGCCACTCAGCAGCCTTTGAAAAGGGTTGTGTTAACCAAAGACCACGTGTTTGGCTGTACAATGCCTGTATTAACAAGGATGGAGGCTGGCAACTACTTTGTTATGTTATAAACCTGTCCCAGTAGGCTCTGCTACGCACCACCAACGCTTCAAGGCTGCAGATAAACACAAGGCGAATCATGAAAAACAGACGGTGCTCAATGATTCAGTTTCTCTTGGCACGAGCCCCATGATCCTGAAGAGAAGCAACGACGTTGCTGGGGAGAACTGAAAGAATGGCTCCATATGGCAAACATCACTGTCTTCTCATTGGCTAAGCACTACCTAGCCTGCCTGAAACAGTTCCCACGAGGATGGCCATGAAGCAGAAAAGGAAACGAGTGAAACATTCCAGTGGGGAGGCAGCAGGAAAACCCCTTGCAACCTGCTGAAACATCACTTGCTCTTCGCAAGCACCCCACAGACTCATAACAGCATATTTTCTTCCTTCACAAACCGACTCAGAATCCACCCGCATTCCGTTCTATCAGGAACTGGCCAATACACCAAGGAGGCAATTTCATGTATTTTTACCTCCCGCCCCAACCTACCCAACCCTGCTTAACGCAGGGCAGCCAAACGGCATTTCCCGTGAGACCTATAAGAAGGGCAAAGGGGTGAGGTAATATCTTTTAGAGAGAGACACGCTTTCGAGCTCTGAGTACATTCCCCAGACCTGAAGCAGAGCTCTGTGTAAACTCGAAAGTTCATCTCTCTCACCAACAGAAGGTGGTCCAACAAAAGATATGAGCTCAGCCACCTTGCCTCACTAATATCCTGGGACCAACACAGCTACAACAACACGGCACAAGGGCATTCATTCTTCAGCGCTCAACAACCGCTGTTACTGCCAAAGACAGCAGGACCCAAAGCCCCCCACCACACACACACACACACACTCAAACACACATGCTTATTCCCAATAGCAGGAACAGCTGCAGCCCAGAACAACAAAAGAGAAAGACTCTATTGCTCTCTAGGTCCAGGCAATGAACAGAAGAGGTAGTCGTACCGTTTCCCTTCAAAGGGCTCTGGGAGTGCCACTGGCTGGTATAGACAGTACCTTTTGTGGAAATAAAACACACCACCCTTCATAATGTGGCATTAGAGCCTGGCATTCCTTGAAGGTGCCTCTTGCTGGAGAAGAGCAGCTACACGTACCTTTCATCCCAAACTTGGATCTTCGACCATACTTGTTGATCATAATAAAGAGCACCACCAAGAGGACACACGCGAAAGCTGCAAGCCCAACTGCTATGGATACCTGCAAGGGACAAATCTGAAAGTTAGGATGAAGGAACATATGATATCCAAACCAGTTCAGACTTGAAAAGTAAAAGTCTCCTGGCTCAGTCACTCCTGTACACTTACATGCTGCTGTGGAGACGAATCCATCTGAATGCAAATGGCTTTAATGCAGTTTTGAAACTACAAGAGCCTCTTACTGCGACAGGAAAAATAAGAATAATTTCTATATAGATACAATTCTGCTCCGATATCACATTTCCCGTGCCTCTGAACCCTCACTCTCTAATCATCAAGTACATCTGCATGGAATCTTCGCTCCTTAGTATTCCTTAATGCTCTGGGTTTTTTGCCCTTCATAATCTCCATTTGACACATCTTACCCAACGTGTGGTCTCACAACCATAAGTGGATACTAACTTGAGATGGGGAATATGCAGTAGGAGCAGAAGAATTCTTTCACAACATCAATTCTGCCTCCATGCAAGCAACCCTCAGAAGCAAGAAAAAGGGAAGAGAAAACACAAGAGACTAAAGGCGGTAGAACTCTTTTCCTGAGGTTCCAGCTGCTCCTTTATGAGTAGTAGTGGTAAATATTTATATTATGATCGTACCCAAAGTGCCCCAGTTGGGACTGGGGTCCCATTGTGCCAAGCCCTGTATGGATGCAGAAGGGAGATCATCCCTGTACACAAAGGCTTACAGCCCAAAGCTCCTTTTTATATTTATTAATATTTATTCTGCAGATCTTTACCCAAGACTCTTTAATTGTGTTGCTGTAAATAAACAGCTTCCTTTCAGGATTTCTTCCGTTTGCATTTGGCCAATTATTCTTACTGCCTTCCAGGGCCTCTTATTGCATTTGGACCTGTGTTCCTCTTACTGTGATGTGTTCAATCACAGAAGAAAATACAGCATTAACAGAAAGACATTTTATTCCTTTCATCGCTTGATGCTTTTCCCAGTCTTTGATAGACGCATGGTTTTATTTTTCAAAGGTCACATTTTAACAAGTATGATTTTCATTCCCCTGTATATATTCTGCATTTCTTTTTCTATACTGGGTGCTGTTCACGAGTAAGGTCCCATTGTATGAAGCGCTTTCCTCAGTTCCCCTGAGAATTACCGCAGGATAAAACATTCAGAAAAATCGATAAGGGTTTGTTTATTCTGTCAATATTTTCTGGATTTCAAGATTCTCAAAACCTTGCATAAAATTAGAGCAATTCTATGAAACCCCTAATTATTTCCCCAACACTGTTGCTCTCAACATTTTCCCCATCTCTGTCTGGATTTTGTGAAAAGTGAAATTTTGAGGGTCTTGCAAACCATGTAAAATGAATTGGCAAAACTTATTTCAGCCAATGTGATCAAGTCCTACTGCGACATCACCAAATGCAGCGGGGGGGGGGGGTTAAAGAAGGGGTGGATGAATCGGTATTGATGAAAATAAACCAGAAGTGAATCCATGCTCCTAAAGATTCCATTATAGCATGAAACAACTCAATTAATTGATTGATTTGTCATTTTTTTCACTGTTCTCTCAGAATTTCTGACCCTGCAGGAAATACTTTGGGGGAGACTCTGTCTTCAAGAGATTCACAACCCAGTTTTGCAAACTCAAGACGCTAACGTAGTTCATATCAGTATCCCTGCTTATCCATCGCAAACCACTGAACCATCTAAAGTCTGGCCATCATTAATTGGACAGGGTAGGATTTTACTTACAAACAAATATCTCAGTATAGAAGCAATGGTGGTGCAAACAGTATACCACCCTATCCATCAGCAACAGCAGAAATCAATAGAAAATGCTTCCCCTGTACAAAAAGGAGACAGGACTCACCCCAAATGTATCCTCCTCTGGTTTGTGGGTCACAGTGATAGGTGGGGTGGGGCTCACTTCATAGTCACCAACTGGAACCAGAAGAGGAAAGAGGAAATATTCAATTTGTGCCCCCAAGGAATTCCACAGGCCCCAGAACATCCCAACCTTGTGATGTCACACTACATAGCACTGGCTAGCCCAGAGAATGAGGTCTCTTGCTTTCTATTTCAAAGACTTTGAATTCAAGTCTTATTGGGGTTGTAATTTCTCCTGAACTGGCATAGACCAAATGAGCTAATAGGTGTTTTTTTACTTAAGCTCTCTAGGTTCCTATGTGACTTGGCAGTGAGGAAGCAAAGTCAAGTTACTGATCGGACACAGTGCACTCCCACCAGTTAATGAGAAGCAGTCTGATCCCATATGTTCTGTGGGTGAGGGTTCTTCATCCACCCACATGCCTCCCAGCACCAGGGGAAAGCTAGTGGTTCAAGCATCCCTGGAATGCAGATTGCTACAAGACTGAATCCTGCCAAATTAAAACCAACAAACAATGACTTGAGTGATTTTTTAAATTAAATGCATTTGAATGCTGGCGATTAAAAATCCAGGAAGCAGAAATCCCCCAGCCACAGAACAGGTACAGCACTTACCCTACACACCTGTTCAATGGGCCTCAGCTCCTACTTGGAAGAGTCCACACTACAATGGAGGGGGGAGGGATTCCAATATCCAGGACCCAATCAGTCCTTTGGCTTGTGCTCAGACTGCTGCAATATGGAGGTCAAACCAGCACTTGTTGTGATGCAGACAACTGTTCTGCTAGGAAGGGGACTGAGACCCAGCTGCTCATTTCATACAGGTGATTCAATGGCAACTTCTTTGGGGCACCACCTACCTGCACCTAATTTAGATCAGTAACCTCAAGGGGAGAGGTTCCATATTACTTCCCCAAGCCCTGAACCACATCAGCCCTCACAAGACTAGCTCTGAAGACTGCTTTTCCTTTCAGTTTCAGTGGACTAGGCATCTATACCACTGCCCTGTGGCACCCCAAACTACAGCCAGTACAGGAGTTGCTTGAAGACACATTCACGCCTCTGTGTCATACTGCAAAGTTACCCGTGCTACCGGCACATCACATGCTTCCCTCTCCATTGGTCTGGATCCTTCTTCAGGACCTCACTAGGCAGGAATAGACCTGCCCAGGATCTACAGACTGTACAGCACATAAAAACCTTCCTTAATACACTCAGGCTCTCACAGAGGGGAAGCCAGACACTTATTTCCTCATCTCCCTCTCTAACAATCCCTCCTGCCTAGCACTAAAGCATTAGATCGCCCCCAAACGTCATCTGCAAGGTACTTGGATTCAGGAGGTGAAAAAAGGAAATGAAGCAAAAGGCAAGAAGGCACTTACTTGAAACAAAGTTATCCGTACTCTCTGTGAAAAGGACAAAGAGAGAAGCAACACAATTAACAGCACAGTAGAGGGACGTCAGCCCCTCCCATCCAAACACTTCTCAGCCACACTCCCACATCATCCCAACCAGCCCAGGGACGTTTGAGGGCGTACCTCTCGGAGTAAGCCAGCCACTAGCTAATGCCAGCTCACTGACTGCACAGGGAGCAGAGGGAAAACCCTCCTAGGAAGAGCATAGCTACTTTAAGAGATTTCTCTGTTTAGATCCACACGGCAGGGCTGAGCAGGATTTGGAGGAGGTGTGGCAAGAGAACAAAGCTTCCCATTTTTGGCCCATTTGGCAGTCCTGGCTCAAAATAATCTCAGACTGTGTTGAAGGTCGGGATTGGGGTGCACTGGAACAGCTGTGAGGGGGCTTGGGCTGAAATGGGGGAGGGAGGACTGCAGGTTGGGATTCCAGTGGATTGATAGGGCAGAACTGGAAACCCCATGGCCACAGTAGCTGTAATACCATTTAGGAGCAAGTTGCAGAGCTGTGATGGAGTGAGGACTGGAAGCGATTGGGCTCAGGACAGAGGTGTGGCTGGTGCGGGGGAAAGGGGCCGCACGACATTTGCGCCATCCTGTAAAGTAGGCCCTCTTAGTCATTCCCCTCAGCAACCTGACCAGTTCACGGTATCCAGTAAAGCTCCTTCCAAACAAAACAGCTCGCTAGGGCCCCAGGTGACAATGTCTAAAGCTCTCAGTGACAATCAGTTTATATAGCATGAGAACAACATCAGCTTTCAATGTACTCGCCAGCAAAAGAAACTGACCCTGATACTAACAGGATTTTACACAGCTTTGCCGGCCAAGGGTGCCTGGAATGATGCTGCAGCGTTCCCATAAAAGCATGGCAGAGGCTTGGAAGGGAAGCAAATACAGACCCAGGGTCATACGTGCAGCTCCCAATGAACTGAAGTTTGGTTCGGTTAATTGGGCTGTGATGGATTAGATCAGTAGTTCTTGACTCCTGGGCAAGTTACTACACTTTTTTAATTTGAGGGGGCTGGAAATTTTCCAGGGACTGCAGCATAGGAGCCAGCAAACAGAGTTGAAAACAGCAGCCTTTGCATGGAGATCCCTGTTGGAGGAGAAGGGAGGCAAGCCTCTGCTCCTGAGGGGCAGGGAGAGAGTTCTTGACAGTGTGTTTGCTTGCTTGCGGGTTTGTTTTCAGTTTGCAAAGTCTGGCAGGGGGCAGTGCGTGGGGAGAGAAGCAGAGCCTGTGATCACAGCTGAACCTTGATTGTGGGGGCGAGGCTTTCCTAATCAGCAAGCCTATAAAGGCAGCCAACCAATTGGCCGGCAGCACAGGAGCCAGCAAACAGGGGTATGTTTTGGGTTCTTTCCCCACTCCTTTTTTCTTTCTTCAGAGGAGCGTAGGAGGGAAGGCTATGACAGCTACACAGGCAGCTGTAGTAGTGACCCAAAGAATGGAAGAGACAATTAAGATGACTGGATGTGGAAGCTGTGGGATATACTTTATTCTGGAGAGGGTACCTGAAAGGTGCTTCATTTGTATGAAGTGCCGTCTGATGCATCGGATGGAGGAGAAGATCCAAGGTTTGGAGAGGCAGCTAGAAACTGTGGTGGATTTTCAAAGGGGATTTGGGCAGATGATGAAGGGAAGGAGAGAAGAGGCTGAAGAGAAACCTCATGACTTGCAAATGCATGCTGGACCAGAGAACTGTGAGGGTAGACTTCTGGATAAGGAAAATGGCCAATGGAAGCACATGACTATGAGAACAAGGAGGAGGAAAAGACTGGCTAGCGAAGGAGAAACAGAGCAGAGGAACAGGTTCGCTGAATTGAAAAATGAAAGGGAGAGGCAGTCAGTAACCAAAGATGGGAAGGCAAGGAAGAAAAGAAGAGCAGCTAGTCCTGCAAGAAGAGGGAAAGAGACAATGAAGACAGCCAGACTTCAGAGACCTAAGAGGATAGAGGATGACTCGCAGGAGACTACAAGTGAGAACAGAAGACTTGCAGCCAGAAAGAACAGAAGGGGGAAGGCTGGAGAATTGCAACACCATCAGAAGAGGCAGGTCTACGAGATTGGGGACTCCCCTACTAAGAAGGACAGACAGACCTGTCACCACAGCTGATCCGGAGAACAGAAGGGTGTGTTGTCTGCCGTGAGATAAGAGACAGGATGTGGACCTGAGATGGAAGAGGATCCTAATGGGAGCTGGAAAGAATCCACTGATTGTCCTTCATGTTGGAACAAATGACATTGCTAGATTCTCACTGGGACACAACAAGGAAAACTGACAGGCTGGAGAAGACACTTAAAGAAATGGAGGCTCAGGTGACCCTCAGGGGGATTCTACCTGTCTGTAGAGGAGGAGGGCAAAGGCAAGACAAGATTATGATGATGAACAGATGGTTCAGACAATGGTGCTATAAGGAGGGCTTTGGGATGTTCAACCAGTGGGAGGTATTCACAGACAGAGGACTGTTCTCATGGGATGGACTCCACCTGAGTAGAGAGGGAAATATGCTTCTGGGACGGAGGTTGGCACAACTGATTAAAAGAGCTTTAAACTAGGAACATGGGGGAAATGGTTTGGAGCTCATGTAATCTCTGCATCTGATTCTAATATTGAGTGGGAGGAAAACCAAGTAAAAGAGCAATGAAGAAAGGAATAAAAGAGGGTAAGAAAATGTACAACAACAAGAGGAAAGACAGGGCTAAATCACTGGGAGTAACAGTCAGGTATACTGGCAGTAAAATGACTGTACCTAATCCAGCGAGGAATTTGGGCAAAACCAAGCAGAAACAACTAAGATGTCTGTGAATCAGTGCAAGGAACCTGGGTAACAAAATGGAGGAACTAGACCTACCAGTGCAAGAAGTGAAACTAGATATTATAAGGTGAATGGAAACCTGGTGAAACAGTAACCACGACTTCAATCCAGGTGTTGGAGGGTATGTGCTGTTCAGAAAAGACAGAAATAAAGGTAAAGGTGGTATTAATAATGGGGAAGACTGTAAAGAAATTAGAAGTGATGGAATGCATAAAACTGAATCTGTTTGGGTCAAAATCTCTTTGGGGAAGAAAGGTAACAGAGGTTCCACTGGGATAGTGCTTGGGCCTGCTATAGACACCCAGGATCTGATTTGGATATGGAGAGAGACCTCTAATATTTTTAATAAAATAAACACTACTGGGAATTGTGTGATTATGAGAGATTTTCATTTCCCAGATATAGACTGGAAGACAAGTGTGTAAATGGTAGGGCTCAGATATTCCTGGACGTGATAGTCAACAGATTTCTTCACCAGATAGTCACTGAACCTACAAGATGTGATGCTATTTTAGATTTAGTATTGGTAAGTAGCATGGACTTCATAGGACTCCTGGTTGTAGAGGACAACCTTGATTCGAGTGATCATGAATTAATTCAGTTTAGACTAAACTGAAGGATAAACAGAAATAGGTCTGTAACTATCCTTGATTTCAAAAGGGCACACTTTAAAAAGTAAAGGAAATAACTAAGGGAAGTGGATTGGATTGAAGAATTTAAGGATCTTAATGTGGAAGAGGCTTGGAATTACTTTGAGTAAGGGGGAAAAAATTGTAGGGAAGGATAGCAGACCTAACTGGATGAACAAGCATCTCAAACAGGTTATTAAGAAGAGAAAACCTACAAGGAATGGAAGAAGTGATGGACACAAAGGAGAGTTACTTCTTGAAAGTCGGAAAGTGTAGGGAGAAAAGTGAGAACTGCCAAAAGCTAAGCAGAGTTGGACTTTGCAAAGGAAATTAAAAGCAATAGTAAAAGATTCTTTTTTTTAAAGAAAACAAGGAAAGAAGTGAGACCGCTAAGCACTGAGGATGGGTTGCAGATTAAAGATCATAAAGGTATGGCCCAACACCTAAGCAAATAATTTGCCTCCGTTTTTAATAAGGATAATGAGGAGCTTGAGGGCAGTGGCAAGGTACCAATGGAACAAGGATATGGAAGTAGAAATTAGATGGAAGCCAAACTCAGACAGCTTAATGGGACCAAATTGGGGGGCCCAGATAATCTCCATCCAAGAATACTAAAGGAACTGGTATATCAAATTGCAAGGATTTTTAATGAATCTGTCAACTCAGGGGTTGTACCTTATGACTGGAGAATTGAAAATATAGTACCTATATTTAAGAAATGAAAAGAAAGGGATCTGGGAAACTACAGGCTTGTTAGTTTGACCTCAGTTGTATGGAAGGTCTTAGAACAAATTATGAAAGAGAGAGTAGTTAAGGACATAGAGGTCAACAGTAATTGGGATAAAATACAACACTGGCTTTACAAAAGGTAGATCATCCCAGACCAACCTAATCTCTTTCTTTGAGAAGATAACCAATTTTCTAGACAAAGGAAATGCAGTAGATCTAATCTACTTGCATTTCAGTAAAGCATTTGATACAGTTCCACATGGTTAGATCAGTAGATTAGTCAAATTATTAGTTAAATTGAAGATGATGAGAATTAATAAGAGAATTGAAATGTGGGTAAGAAACTGGTTAATGAGGAGACAACAATGGGTCATGCTGTCAGGCTGACGGGAGGTTACTAGTGGAGTTTCTCAAGGGTCAATCTTGGGACCAATCTTATTTAACATTTTCATTAATGACCATGGTACAAAAAGTGTGAGTGTGCTAATAAAATTTGTGCATGACGCTAAGTTGGGAGATATTGCCAATATGGAGGAGGACCAGATCATCATACAAGACGATTTTGATGACCTTGAAAACTGGAGTAATAGAAATTGGATGAAATTTAACAGTACAAAGTGAATTTCAGGACTAACAAGAAGAATTTTTGCTGTAAGATGGAGATGTATCAGTTGGAAGTGACAGAGGAGGAGAAAGATGTGGCTGTGTTGGTCAATCACAGGATGACTATGAGCCACCACTGTGATCCCGCCATGAAAAAGGCTAATTGCAATTCTAGGATGCATCAGCCAACGTATTTCCAGATAGGAAAGTGTTATTACCATAATACAGGGCATTGGTGAGACCCCATCTGGAACACTGTGTGCAATTCTGGTCTCCAATGTTTAAGAAAGATTAATTTAAACTGGAACAGATGCAGAGAAGGGCTACTAGGATGATCAGAGCAATGAAGACCCTACCTTAAGAGAGGAGACTTAAGGAGCTTGGCTTGTTTAACCTAACAAAACAAAGAATGAGGGGTGATACGATTGCTCTCTATAAATACATCAGAGGGAAAAACGCCACAGAGGGAGAGGAGTTATTTAAATTAAGGGCCAATGCTGGCAAAAGAACAAATGAATATAAACTGGCCATCAACAAGTTTAGGCTTGAAACTATACAAAAGTTTCAAACCATCAGAGGAGTGAAGTTCTGGAACAGCCTTCCAAGGGAAGCAGTGGGGCCAAAAAACCCTAACCTATTTTAAGACTGAGTTTGATAAGTTTATGAAGGGGGTGGCACAGTGAGATTGCCTACAGTGGTATATGGCCCATCCACAACTGCGATTAGAAAATATCTCCAATGTCCAGAGATAGGACAGTAGTTGGGAAGGGCGATGACAATTCTTTCCCAGGTGTCTGCCTGGCAGGTCTCGCCTACATGCTCAGGGTCTGGTTGCCATATTTGGGGTCAGGACAGAATTTTCCCCCAGGTCAGATTGGCAGAGACCTTGGGATTGTTTTGCCTTTCTTGGCAGCTTTGGACGTGGGTCACTTGCTGGTTTGAACTAGAGTAAATGGTGGATTCTCTGTAACTTGAAGTCTTTAAATCAAACTCTGAGGACTGCAGTAACCCACCCAGAGGTTAGGGGTCTATTTCAGGAATCGGTGGGTGAGGTTCTGTGGCCTGCAATGTGCAGGTCAGACTAAATGATCACGATGGTCCCATCTGGCCTTAAAGTGTATGAATCTATGAGACTCTAAACTTTAATTTTAAAAAATTCTGGTCCTGGCAGGTTGCAGCGAAAACCTCCCCAGTGTAACTAGCAGCAGTAATGAGGTGTGTTGAATGTACAGCTCCTCACGTTTTCTAGAAAAACCAACTTTCAAATGCAAGACTGTACATTTCAGATGCACTGAATGTAAAGGTCAGTTTTGGCAATGTCCGGACCAGTGATCTTCAAGAAAAGTAAATCATGTACTGATTACATCATGGGCGGGGGGCTGCCACAGTGAGAAAGATTCAGGGACACAGGGTCATGAGAGGAAAAAAAGGGATGGGTTTGTAGTGGCAGGTAGAAAAAGGCAGCGAACCTTTGGATTAGGTCTATCTATAGTCTTTTCTTTTCCAGCACCTTCTATACAAGGATTTCAAAACACTTAAACATTAGCTTATTCTCTCAACATGGTGGCAAGACTGGAATGAATTTTTAGTGTCAGCTTTTTCGAGCAGCAGACCTGCTTCCTGTTACCTTTGGAAAGTGCCTAGCACATTGCAGATGCATCAGAAACAAAATGTTGTTATCCCCATCCTGCAGACAGGGGAACTGAATCACAGAAATGGGAAGTGACGGAGGTGAGAACATAACCTGACCTATCTCCTGACCCCCACCCCATGTGCCAGAAACACAGACTGCCCTTCCTCCCAGATAGCAGAAAGCCTACACAGATTAAGGAGCTAGACAGATGATCATCCTTGAATCTTGAATATAATTTTGCCACTCCTTTCTGTATCTGTTCATGTCTTTAGACTGGTCAGCTCTTCAAGGCAGAGATTTTGGCTTCCATTTACTATATCTGACCGCCCGGAAAGCTCTGTGCGCATTGACGGCATGATATAAATAATAAATGACAATACCATTGGTATTGCTCTATATATAGCAAGTGCCCGATTTTGCTCCGTTTTCTAGGGGCTGCAGGAGCCACGCTGGCCACTTTCTCATGGCATCACTCCTGAAGGCAACAGTATGCACCACTCTGTTAACTCCAGGGTGCCTGATCTGGTGCTGCAAAAACAGAAGGCAGTGCAAGAGCCCTCCCACGCTTTCACTGCAGGACAGCCACCACAACCCTCTCTACTGCACGCCTTATAACAAGAGCTTCCCCTGCTTCATTTTCCCTTCTACAATTTCACCACTCACCGCCCAGTGACACAGGGAGGAATTTAAAATCATTTACTGAGAGTGCCTGACAAATAGTTAATGCCGAGGGACTGGGGGGGTATTTACCATTTTTGTGGGGGCTGTTGCACCAAAATGATGTCTGACAGATTTTTTTTAATGAAATATATAGAATCCTGAGGACATTCCATCTAGATCACAGCCATTTTATAGACAAAGTAAAACAAGATCACCAAGTCCCTCAAAAGGGCTTTCCTCCACACACAACCACTACCCCAGTTATACGCCCCAAAAGAATATTCGGTGTCAAAAGAGTGGGAGTCCACTTTAAGGGGCGTCAGAGGTAACCCCCCATGATACACTGCAGGCCCTAAGCCCTTCTCTCACGGATAAGTCATGGAGCAACAACCACCACAAACACTGCAGAATGCAAAGTCAAAAACCAGTCACTCATTTCCTTTTCCGTCAAATTTTCACCCTTTTGTCCCTTAAGATGCTGTTGAAGATTCCTGTCAAAGAAGAAAGTGGGGTCCCCTGGCATCATATGGCATGGGTTGGGCAAACTTCACAAGCTAATTGGGCCATGCCTGGTCTGTACATGGTTGATCAGACCCAAGTGTCCCATCGTGATGTTATGTTGTTGTTCAAGCCACCATCTTTCTGAGGAGACTTGACACAAAGGCCATGATCATTCAAAGCCACCAAAAACGTCATGGCACTTTCTGCACCAATAGGTATGTTAGCTCTTACGTCATGGTCAGTTTGGATAATTACATCCTCCCTCCCTAAAATCCCCTTAGATTTCAACTGGATACACAACTCTTTTTCACACCCATGTCTAGACTCTTGTGAAATGTTGCTCAATGCTGGTAAACAGTTATTATATTGTGCACCAGAGGGGACTGTATTTTAATGTGAGGTTCAATGATCCTGGTGCATAGCTTGTATAGCAGCCTGTTAAGTGCTCCAGGATGCAAGGCACTACAGAAACATAAGCTGTGACTCTCTCACCTGGAAAGGGCTTCTCGAGGAAGTGCCCTTTGATGGTCTGGTTGGCTGTCCCCAGCTGGTTAGTGGCCACGAGGGTGTAGTTGCCATTGTTGTAGTGAGTGGGCTTGTTGAAGAGTAGACAGCCCTCAGACACTTCACCCTGCTGGTAGAACTCCATGCGGATGATCTCAGTCTCCCTGAGGACCTGACCATTGTGCAGCCAGTGAAGGCTGGGCACCGGGTTCCCATGCACCACAAACTCAATGCAGTGCTCCAGACGTAGCTCTGGCTCTTCCAGGCTCTGAATGCGTGGCGGATCTAGCATAGAGAAACACAATGCAAATTTGTGGGACTCAAGACCCAAGTAACCTCACATGTTCCAGGCAATGATGATTACCTCATCTCCCAGCAGCCAGCCACCAAAGCGCACTCGAACAGCTAGAGGAACCTCCCATCCCATGGCTGAATTTGCTGTGTGTGCATGCTACGCTCTACTACAGCTGCAATGTCGTCAGCAGCCTTACCAGGTGAGCTGGAATGGAGCCTTGCCCAAAGGAGCCAAGCCTGGTTTTGGCAGTAGGAGATGACCTGCTGTCATTTAAGAGTTTCTTCCCTTCCCTCTGGGCTTGATGACACAAAATCAACTAAGCTTGTCTCAGCTGGGAGTTGCTCTCAGAGCATTTCATAGCACTCACATCACACTGATGCAAGACCTTTCCCAGCACATGTTTAAGGGTTGTTCACATTCATTTTAGTGGGCATGTAACGAGCAGTGCAGGATAGAGGGACATTCAGTCTCGACAGTCAAAATCCCCAATAAAGAAACAAGTAATCAGGCTCCATCCTGCCCTGGATAATGGATACATAATAGAAATGAAAAATGTCTTTCCCCTCAGCACTGAGGGTGTCCCCTGGAAATCCTTACTTTGCATCCCCACTCCTCCTCACCCCACCAGTTTAATTCCTAAATGGCCCTGCTTCACCGCAGCCTTTTCTCTGGTGTGGAGGACCGAATGGGGTCATGCGGAACATCAACCTGAAGGGGCACCACTGAGCCACTCTAGCCTCTGTAAACTACAAGCACGGCTAGCTCTGTAGGTCTGGGAAACAAGGTCTGAGATCAGATCTTGGATTTGGACCCCTGCTAACCAGCCCGAATTAAGTTTGTAGCTGTCCACTTAGCGTGCATATTGTTGTACTCCCCTCCCCACACAATGTCAATGGAGCAGCCTGCTCATGTTATGTAGGCTTTTCTAGTGCATTGTTATTAATTACGCACATGTCTACAAGGTGCCCCTTGGGGCTCTCTGGTCACATTCAGTAGTTTAGGAATTCTCAGCCATTCAAGCAAACATCCCTCAGGGTTTCTGAATGGCTGCATGTCCTTGGAGGCTTTGATTGGTTGAATATCCTCCAGGATTGTTACAATTAAAGGACGTGTAGCAGGACAGGGATTAAAGCTGGGAGCTCACCTCCATTTAATACATATGCATGGTACCCTCTCCTGAGAGGCCTCTGAACTGAGGATACCTACGCCTCAAGAATTCAAACTCCGCTCCACCATCGCTGATGAAAACTTAATTACAGCATCACATGTAAGGCCCCAAACACTGAGGCCACAGAGCATGACCAAAGATGGCCCACTACTGTAGGGCAAGGATCAGAACTTCATAAGACAAAGGCCTTCTATTCTTTCCTAAGCACTCTCCTTTCCCTCACCCCATGCAGAGGGCTGGGGTCACGCCCACAGGCAGCCCCTAACTAACAGGAAAGATCCATCAACTTTCCCCTCTGTTTTTTCTAAAGAGTTTCATGTTGTGAAAGTGGAGAAACAGCAATGCCAAAGAGAGAGAGGTAGAGCTCGGAGGAGACGCCCAAGATTCCGCACTCACAACTCAGGCGATACACCTCAATCGTGACCCACGGCTGCTAACCCAGTGATCGTGCAGAGTCCCACCCAGCATGTTTCACCTGTAAGCCTAGGTCGGAATTTAGTTCCCTATATCTCTGGGTGAATGACTAGGTAGGGTGGCCAGACAGCAAGTGTGAAAAATCGGGACAGGAGGTGGGGATAATAGGAGCCTATATAAGAAAAAGACCCAAAAATCGGGACTGTCCCTATAAAATCGGGACATCTGGTCACCCTATGACTAGGAGGGTACCAAAGCAATTAGTCACCAATACACCAAAATATCAGCTCTTTTCAGAATGATTACATTAGAGCAAGTATGGTACAAACTGGTACTGGCTTGCAGGATTCTGGGCATGTAAATTAGCATCAACATGGTGGCACTTAAAGGGTTTGGACGGCATATCTCTCTCCTCCCAGCTGATCAGATCTGGAACTGTATTAATTTAGGCAACCAAAGCCCCCCCAAACCATCCAAACACACCAAAATTATTTATTTTGGGGGAGACCAGAGAATGACGTACTTTTTATTCTCCTTCCAATATTCTATTGTCTTCAGTTCTGCCTCATTGCTACAGGTGCCCAATGGTGCCCGCGCTGCATGGGATAACAGGGCATAATTCTCCAGTTTACACAGGTACCAGCGGGGGTTAGGGATGGGCGATTTTCAAACCACAGATTAAGGGCAAATGTTATGGACACAGCAACACATGGTAAGTCCCAGTTGCCTGAGGCAGCAAAGCTGCGTAAACTCCTGTTAAGGTCTGGTTTTTATTAAGTTATATTAGAAAGCACATGAAAGTTTAGCTCTCTACAGCCTGTAAGTAAATGGTTTTAAATCTTGCTTTGCACATGTTTACACAGTGTTCACTGATTAACCTGGTAGAAACAGATCTGGGATGAAATCCTGACTCCATTATAGTCAATGGCAAAACTTCCATTGATTTCAGTGAGGCTAGGGGATGAGTGACTCAGAAAGTTTTAGCCCCAGCTGGGCATTTCCTCACCCCACTGGATTTCCCAGTGGTGCTTTGTGAATGCAAGTAGCCACCTGAACGTGCCAGTGAGGCATGCAGACACGTGGCGCAGCCGTTCAGCCCAGCAGGGGCTCACCACACATGTGCAAGTGTGGGACTGACACACCCACACTGGGAGTACGCCCGTTTCTGCAGGCAAGCTAAAATGGAGAGAAGCTGGAGGACAAAGTAATTGGCCCATAATGAAAGCTCCTTTCACACGTAGTCCTAGGACTGGTCCCTGCCTCAGTCTCCTGCAGCAACTCTGACTTCGTGTCCTCACCCTCAACAGCAGCAAATCAAGATGAGCGCAGCATAGCTTGGTGACACACAATTCCCGACAGGAGACACATTCAAATAGTTCCCACGCTCACCCTCCCACCAGCCCATGTATGGCCCGCGTCTCCCTGCCTCTACTTACAGTAGACCGTGAGCAGCACACTGGCATTGGTCATTCCCACCACGTTCTCAGCAATACATGTCAGGAGGAAACCGTTATCCTCACTGGTGACATTCACCAGGGTCAAATTGATGGCATGAACGTTAGTCCAGTTGAGGTTCGTCTGCAAATCCCCAAAAAAAACCAATAAGGACAAACCCAACAAATGATGCCGGCCTGCCCACCTCCCGGGCCCAGGACCAGAGGATCCCAACTCCTGTATAAAATGTCATGGTCTCTAACAACCATGGCCAGGCAGGATTTCAGTTTCACAGCTCACCCTGTCCATGGCACCACGAGCAGCACAGTGCACCCACGCACTTAGTCCAAAGAGGTTATAACCACAGCTTCTGAAACAGTGCTAAACAGGGTATGCCCCTGCCTCTACTTGCAGTTAAACCACGTTCAGCTGCACCTATTGTTGAGACACCATTGTCAGCAACGGATAATTTTGCTAGTGGAGACAGGCTAACATGCAACCAAGGGAGCACTAAAGATATGAAACAATCAGCCCGCAGGAAGAGCTGTTTTGCTGCCTGGAATCAATATCTGCACTCTACCCGCCAATACTCTGCCAACCCAGGGTTCCTAATCTGACTCTGGTGTGGACTATACAATCCATTTCAAACAATCACTGCATTTCACTTCTCTCCTGTGGTGATCAACACTCATCCAGCCCTATTAAAATGGAATACACAGGAAACAAAGACCCGGAAAATTCCCCGGGCCAGCACCCCAACTGCTGTGTTGTGTGTTAACACCCTGGTGATGGACCTTGGCAAGGGCAGTAAATGCCCAGCCACCCAAGCCCCTTGGCCTCCTACCTGATGAGTAGTGATGGAGTGCAGATCGGCAACTGTCCAGTCTACATCAGGCAGCGGCGAGCCTGAGCCATTGCACGTGATCACCGCATTCTCGCCTTCCCGCACAGTCAGGTTAATGTGGCTGACGCTGATCTCGGGCAGATCTAAGGGAGTCAAACACCAGGACACTTAGGGCACCCTGGCCAGCCAAGACATACGGTACAGGATTGGATTCTGATCCCCATGAGCTCCGTCTCCCAAGCAGGCTTCACCTTACAGCAAAGAAGCCTGCACTGCCCTGTGCTTCCGAATGAAGGAAGGGGAGGGGGAAGTACAGGAGGTGGCAAGTAGCTTGGCTGTCTCATATTGGAAGGAATGAGTGACATGGGGGACATCACCAGGTGGATGGATGGATCTTCTCTGTGCTTTGCAATTCTGACATTGCACACAAGTCAGGAAGTTCTGTCCAAGTGCTAGTTGCCTTCCAAACCTATGTCCCTTCTCCCCTTTCCCCCAAGCCCCTGGCACCTGTGTCCGTGCAGAGGTCTGGGAGGAATAAAGCCGCTTCTAAGGAATCACTGGCAAGAGATCCAGCCTGAGCTAGGACAGGGCACAGAGCTCCTGGCACTTAAGGAGAAGAGAGAGAGTTTCTCTCTAATTGATAACAATCAAGAGAAGATGACCAGGGATGTGTCCTCATATTAAAAACATCTCTGCTAATGAAAGACGCCCCGGCTCTTCCCTCCAAGGCGCCAAAGAAATACTGATTTATAGTGGCTTTGACTTACTCCTCTGTCCTGCTGAGCCACCCAGGCACCAAGCGGTCACACAGAGTGCAAGAGACGGTACCAGCAGCAGTACAGAAGGGAGGGTGATACACGGGAGAGTGACCGGACACAGTATGCGTAAGGGGGGCATCAAGGGCTGCAGCATGTGTAAAGAGGGCCCCGAATGAATGAGATGGGAATAGAAGGCAACAGGTCAGTGCAATGGCCTCTTTCTTATCATAGAACCATAGAATATCAGGGTCGGAAGGGACCTCAGGAGGTCATCTAGTCCAACCCCCTGCTCAAAGCAGGACCGATCCCCAACTAAATCATCCCAGCCAGGGCTTTGTCAAGCCTGACCTTGACCCCTAACCCCCACATTTACATTAGTTCTTATGGGGACATTGGATTCGCTTAACATCGTTTTGCTTAAAGTCGCATTTTTCAGGAACATAACTACAACGTTAAGTGAGGAGTTACTGTATCCTAATCTCTTTCAAAAAGATCACTCTTAATTGCCTTGGTATCAGTAAGTTCGATGGGTTAATCATACTCTGTACCAAAAAACAGTACCTGGGTTTTTTTAACAATATTTCCCTGTCATTGGGTACTTCTTGTAGGACGGGCAAGGGTAGCAAGGGGCCCCTCCTGGCCTCCTCTCTCTATAGCCTTGGGAGCAAGGTGAACCGGAGCACACAAAGGGCTTTCCTTACCACACTGGGTGATGTTCATCTCCTGCAGGGGAATGACAGCAGCCTCCATGTTCATGCAGTACAGCTCCTGTTTCTGCAGATTTGCTTCACCTTTCTCCTGCCAGAGCTGAATCCAGCGGATGTCACAGCTGCAGTTAAAAAGGTTTCTTTCAAGTGTCCTAGAGAGAAAGAGAATGTGAGAAACAAGGGGTGGGGACAAATAAACAAGGTTACCATTGGTTATATGGGATCTCCACAGAAAAGCTACTAATTGTAAAAAGGCTATGTGCTGTGAGGCTAAAATGAGTCTCTGTAGATCAGGAGAGATTATGGACTCCTTGGAGCAGCAAGGGGAGGAAAGGAGCATGGGGGTGCAGCGAGTTACTGCACTAGCTTTTTGGCCCTGGAAACCAAGGTTCAAATGCTATCTTGGGTCACACCAAAAACATGTTGTAAGCACTCTCAAGGCCAGACGGATATTTGGCCGGAGGGGGAGAAGGCGAGCAGATATGTTGGCAGAGCTTGAAAGGCAGAGAATGCAAGGGCTGGAATAACAAAGGATGCTGATGTTGAGAATGGAATTGCATTGGTGGAAGAGTGTGTGCACATGCGTTGGACTGTAATAATACTGGGTTGAGCTAAAGGAGAATCTCTATTCGATGTTAGCCATACGGGGAAGTTGATCATTTGTATGCACTCTCCAAACACACACACACACCCCAATTCAGATATCTGGGTTTCACAGGAGCCCAGACACATGAAATCCATGTAACACATCGAACACCCCAGGACTACATGGTTGTCACAGTGCTCCACCTCATTGCCACCTAGCACAACAAAGGACTGTCTCAAAGGAGCAGGCGTGACCCCATTCTCCTCAAGAAATATTTATATCTTGTGTCCTAAGACCCCAGGGCTTGTGGGGCAGGACCCTTCTGGGGGGCGTTCAGTCAGTTCAGGGCAGACCTCCAGCAGGATATGCTCACTAAAGCTGGCAGCTCTTGTCCTTAATACTGCAGCTTAGTGTAAGGAAACAACGCTGCTGGTTAACACACAGCATACCAGGCATTTTAATTGAATCAAACAGTGCTGTGCTGGGACCCATTGACCCGGCCAGGACGGAGCTCTGCCTTTAATATACTTCATTTAAAATACACTTACACATATTTTATATACAGATAATTTTATCATTATTGATTTTCCAGCCTATCAGCCATCTTGTTTACATTTCTGAAAAACCCTTGCCATTCCCTTCGGAGACGTGAGGTCACATCACATGGGGATGGAAGGCTGGCTGGAAGGATGGCCGCTGGGATAAAAAGAGGGAGCTACTTGCGGATGTAACATGGAGAAACATGGGAAAGGGCGTAACATCCCAGGGTACAATCCAGACTAGTGAGGTGCTGTGTCACCCCTGCCCTGTAACCTGGGGTGTTCTTCACAAGGCTGGGCTACTGTAGCCTCCACCCTGGACTGCTCACAAAGAGCCTCCAGCATGTAAGTCACTCCCAGCAATGTCCATGTGTGTGCTGCAGCCAGCCAGCCACACCTTGGCTCTTTCAAGCCTCGGCTATACTGCAGGGTGACCCCAACGCACTCCCAGTCCTAGATCTTCCCCCTGAAATACATGTACTGCACTGCCCAGCATGTTCCTGGACAGTACAAATATACAAATATAAGGGAGAACTACATCATCATATTACCTTAAACAGTTATCCAGACATTTCAACTTGAATACACTGGATTAGATAAAACAGTAAAACAAGTTTATTAACAAGATAGATTTTAAGTGAGTAGAAGTAATGAGCCATAAAAGTCAGAAATGGTTACAAGAACAATAAAGATAAAATGCAACCCGTGTCTAACTTAACAACCTGTATTCGATTCAAAGCAAAGTTTCCTCCCCACATGCTTTCAGCAGTCTTATTGACCAAACTCTTTAGGTCAGGACCCCTCCTCCAGAGTCCAACTGCTGCTTCCTTCGTTTTTTCAGGTGCTGTGAACACAATGGACAGGGAGAGACAGAGGGAGTGTCTGCCCCTTCCTTTACAGTTCTGTTCCCCACTTTGAGAAGCATTTCCAGCTGGGAGCAAGGTGACAGGCAGTCTGTGTGCAAGAGAACTCCATGCTATTGCTTTGCTAAGCTGTAGATTTGTACCCCTGCCTCCTTTCCTGCCAAAGAATAGCCACTTAGCATGTAATGGTCCATTAGCTGTGCTTACAGCTGGCTGTAGTGTCTACTCGCCCTTTGTCTCCAAGGAACTGGTCTGACCGTTCCCCAGACTTAATCTGGAAAACATACTTCTCGTCATGATCTCAGCTTCTGTTTATAACTTCACATATAACACTATGTGCATTTTGCCATTATACTACTGATCAGCAAATTAGGAGTTTTTAAATGATACCTCACAAGGTAAACCTGGTACAAACATTATTACAATAGTGTGTAGGGTGTGAACACAGGGATATATTCTGTCACAGAGGGTCTTCAGGACTCAGGCAGAGACATGACAGGATTTCCCAACACAGACACAACCAGAAGCCAAGAGAAACCAGAAGGCATAGGAGCTGTGATGTGCAGACTCAGCCATCTGAAAATGGAAGGGTCCTTTCCAACTCTGAGGTTACGAAAGATTCAGTAATCCCAAAACACCCCCACACAGGGATTCTGCATCTTTGTACCACCACGTACCAGGGGTTGGCCAAGCCAGAGGCACTATGCCAGTACTTCTCTGGCTTCATCCATCTTGTTCTGCAAAATTTAAGTTTTAATTTTTAAAAAAGCTACATAGCCCCCACTCACACACTGGATTCTGATGGGGTGTACTGCAGGGCTGCTGAAACTCTGAGTGCAAAGAGAGATGGCAAGTTCCCCCTGTTTTCTCAAAAGATCTTGATCCTGAAACCTGGCGATGTCACATTCTATGTACACAATGTTCGATATTTTACGGCTGATCATTGTGGTAGCTCAACTTGGATGATGGGAGGCATTTCAGGTCTGTCCCTCCCTCTCCCCTCACAAGAATCTACACCCTTTAGAATAAAGGTGTCACACAAGAAAAAATAAACAGGGACCCATCAGTAATCTAGCAGAAAAAGGCTTAGGGAAGACAAACCTGCGAACAACATGACTGTCTCGTGGATTTGGGGGCACATGGCAGCCGTCACTGCATGACTTAAGCATCCTCCCCCACCACTATTATCATCACTGGTGCCCAAAATAGGCCTTGAATTCACTTCAGCATGGCTGTAGATCTGGAGTCCTCACTCCCCTCGATACATAGGTACCTCCCATCAGTGTGACAGGATGTCGGCCATGTGCAGGGAGGGGAGGTCACATGGTGCTGGCTGAGTAGTGGGACAGCACATACTAGGCATTCTGGTCTCTGCTAATACCAGGTTTGTTAGTGCGAGTTATGTCCTGAGACTCAGCAGAGAGGAGGGGGAGACTAGAAGAGAGCAGGAAATTCTACTTGGCTGGAAACATGGCCCTGAAATCAGGTTGCCTGCGAGAGCCGCCGCCCTCACAGCACTTCAGGGGCAGATCTGTAAGTAACAGAGTGCAGTTTTCTGGCCCATCGATAATGCATGAAGCCCCATGAATAATAAAGGAGTAGCAGACAGAAAGAATTTACCAACAGCCTGCCCCAGAGTCAGTGATGTAAGTCCCCTAATCGTGGCACCCTGGGGAGCTTTTGCGCAAATTAACTCCTCTCATCGACTGGACGCGCTGAGCGCCATCAGCAGCTGGCACTTTGCCTCTCTGGGGACAGGGCTGCTTTTCAGATACATCTACTGATTCTCCTTTATTTGTGCTTTTCCCAAAAGTGCTCCTGGCATGCTGGAGACACCCGCTCCCCTTGCTTTGAACCCATGCCGCCAGGCCAGCTGATTCACAGGAGGGGAAGATACATGCTTTATGCTACAGACAGGGATTTTGACTCCCATACTGTTCTGCTCCTGCATCCACTACCCTGTCCACAGTAATTGAAACATGCTTCTTTCTGCTCACTCAACTCCATGCCAGGCCCTGTCAAGCTTCAAGGCTCATGCCTGACCATTACAAACAATGCCACTTAAAAGCACCCTTCCCTTCTGTTCTATTTTCCCACAACTACTGTAGCCCATGGACTGTCTCCTGTAATAGGTCTACAATTGCCCTAAACGCAGAACAGGGAGGTTATCTGACTCCCTTGACATGTGCCCTGCACCCTAGTGGGGTGATATAAACAACCGTTTCCCAGGAAGAAAAGGATGGTAGTTGCCCCACTCGGATACTACCGTGGTAGGATGTCTGCTGTGCTGCCAGGTGTTCCGGTTAGAACTCAGGCACCAGGCCACCCAGCATTCCAGCGTTTACCGTTAAGAAGGCAGTACTTGCTGGGAGCAGTACTCGAGATTAACAGAGCTTTCTCCCTATATGCTCAGAGGAAATAGCTCTGGCCACTGCACGGTACCTATCGGCATATGCTGACTTTTCAATGGCAACCACTGTATGTCCAGCTAGAAGGCACCCACCGGGATGCCTAACGTCACAGATACAACTTCAGGCCAGGAGACAATTCCTTTATGCCAATACTTTTATCAGGCTTTAAGAACTCAAGAGGATGGAAGAAACTGCCGGGCATATGTCACAAGAATCATAACAGGCAGGGCTGGAAGGGACCTCAAGATGTAATCAGGTCCAGCCTCTCTATGCTGAGGCAGGACCAAGTACATATAGATCATCTCTGGCAGGTGTTTGTCCAACCTATTCTTAAAAGCCTCCAATGATGGGGATTCCACAACCTCCCCGCAGTGAGGCCGAGTGGCCTCCCTCTGAGCAGGAGAGAGAGGGTCCACTACACTCCCCTTGGTGGGCGGAGCCTAGCCTGCCCCATCTCCCTCACTGGAAGTGGCGGGGCGGGGCCGGAAATATAAGAGGAAGGCCCTGCAGCCCAGTTGGAGCAGAATCCCAGAGAAGGATGCTCCTGCCGTACTGCCATGCCCAGGAGGGGAACCTACCCCTGACTGTCCGATAGTCACAGAAGTGAGAGACCCTGACGAGGAGTGGCCCGGACTACCGGCTGCGGTGTACCCCGAGGAGCCCAACAAGCCCCGGAAGCGAAAGGTACAAAACCCCGGGGAGGCAGGAAGTGGCCCAGGGGCAGCCACGGAGCACCCAGCTGCAGAGCCAGGT